AAAGTAGTGTTTATTTTATTTATTAAAGTGTTTCGTACTTTTCCGTATATGATTTAAAAATTAATTTTTAATGCATGAATTTTAGAGTTTTAAAAAGAAATAATTACTTCAATATAACAAGAAAAGTGCATTAATGCTTATATAATAACAATGGTACATTATTTTTAAAATGCATAAATTAGAGCGCGTCTGAGAGAGACCCCTCCTCTGTGTTTACGTAACAGAAAATGAACATCTGCACTTTAAGGGTTAAGGAAATCCTTTGCGAAAGCAGCAAATATAGGAAGCCAATATTACATTTAATGTAACTACAGCTTTCTCAGATTTTGTTTATTACATGCTCCGCCCTCAGGCACTACACGGAAAGGGAGGGATGCCCCGTGGAGGTCTTTTTAAGGGAAACTGGCTCGTATCCACGTTACACATGGGGAAAACCACGAAAACGCCCATGCAGCCAGCCCGTTCGCCGGGACTCGAACCCCGGACTGAACTACCAGTGTTCAGCGGCGCTGGTGGGCCTAGCTTTCGTAGATTCGTATAGCTTATATATACGATTTGAACTAGCATGCAAGGGCCCACTGACGTAGTTTGGCGGGGTTCTTGAAAAGACATGTGACTGCTATAATATTTGTATAATCAAATTAATGTTTTAAATACTTGCTTCAAAAATATTTAGGAAACTGTGTTCTCGTTGCATACTTGCTTCTCAGCAGTAGAATCCTCTCCGTGCTCCTCAGCTCCACTTGAAAACCTCTATCTAACAATTCAAAAACCTAACTCCTGTTAGTGGCGTCATCTATCAGCTACCTTTAAAACAAAATGTGAATGCTTAAAATCAGGGGGAATAATTTATAGCTTTAACCTGTCTTCAAATCTCTCTCCTCCCCTCCCACGCCTCATAAAAAAAGAAGGGAAAAAACTCTCTAGAATATCGCCAGATTCTAATTTTTAGATTCAGAAAATTTTGAATATTTAGACGATAAAGGCAGAAATGAAACACTGGACAAAATACCATTCAAAGAAGCTTTTTCGTTACGTATCGCATTAAAAAGCTCAAAGCCTGAAACAAGGCTACTAAAACAGAAATAACTTTTAGCGTTAATATCTATTTACCGAAAATAAGGGATGCGATTAAAAAGATCCAAAATAAATATGCTGTATAGTCAAATGATATGATTTAGTACCAAAAACAAGGGACGTAAATTAAATTATGCTCTAACTTCGATCAAATCATAATTCATACCATTGATCTTTTATTTATTCACAAGGAGATAATGCTTTTACTCACGTTGGAATCGCTCACTGAATTCCATAAACCATGCAATAATTTAGCAGGTTTCAAACTGTAATTTACATCCAGGATGTCATAAAAGGTTTCTAGTACTAGTATCAACAAATTTCTTGTCTGTAACTGAAAACGTGTTTGACATCAGCATTTGAATAAGCAAACGTAAAATGTTAAATGCAAATTAAGGAAAAAAATCAAATTGGAATAATTCGTGATATTCCACAGAATCTAAACGTTCTCGCTGAAATTTATTTTCATTTAATTGTAAAATGCATGAATAAAATATTTTTCTAAATTTAATCAGGTTAAAGCATTCACTAGCTAAAATCCAACAGTTTTTTTTTTTTTTTTTTTTTTTTTTTTTCAAATTTTATGCAATTTTTCCTGAATAATTTTTGAAACTTTCTTTTATAATGCCGTATAGGCCGTTGGTGAAATTTCTATTTACTCTTTACATAATGAGCGATTAAAATTCCGAATTTTGTCCAGTCAGTAACTGCTCTAACAAGAAAGTATCAATTTTTGTTTCGCAAGTCACTTTCATTCTGATAATTCAAACACAGGATTGAAAAATACAACAATTATTAAGTATTGCACAGTTTCGAACGTATAATGCACAATAAGCAAAGAATCCCATCACTACTGAAACATGGATTACTAATTTTGAAAAATCAATAATTTTTCTAGTTTTTAAGACTTTGTAGCTAATTTGTGAATTGTTAGTTAATAAAAGTTGTTTTTCCTGGGAAACATGAACAAACCTCAGATATTGAGGATAATTCTCAAATAAATTTAATTTTCATTAATGAGGCCCAGGAAGCCCGTGCGAGCTCTTAATTAAATTTGTACTAATCTGTACTTACAAGCAAAGATACAACACATTTAGAGTGCACTCCAGATCACGCTGAAGATTATCTGGAATTAATTTCTGCTGCCCCACGCAAGTTACAAATCATAGTAGCATATGGAAGTGTTGCCACATACTAGACGCAAATCATAATAATTTTATTACATGGAGTATCTAAATTTTAAAATCGGAGGTATTTTCAAAATGATGCTCATCAAATTGACAATTTCTAAACCTTTCTTCTTTCATTTTCCGAAGCAACTAATGATACAAAAATTGATATAGATTAATATTTTTTCGGCAAAGGCAATGTAATCGTCTTTCGATTCCCGTTTCTTATGTAACATATAAAATACTTTCTGAGAATCGCTGAGAAAATTAGAATGCTTTATGATGCCTATAACATTTTAGTTCCCCGTTATTAATATCTAGGATTCTAATTAAAATCACCCTTTTTCAATAAAAGCAAATTTCAAAGCAAAATATTTTGTAAAATTTTTCTTTGGATTTGCCAGTGTATTCTTTTATGCAATGCTGAAAAACGCGGCTTGTGCATGTGGTGCCATCTATTAGCTGTATTTAGAAGTACTTATTTAGGTAATACTTGGGTAGAATGATGAAGATAGCAAACCTCGTAGAAGAAATATTGACGTAAAAGCAAAGAATATGGATGGATTTTAAATAATTTATTATCACTTCGTTGTACGAATTAAAGGAAGAATTATAATCGCAAAATTTCCGGGTATTATGTTTCATTGAAAGTATCCATTTTTAACGTTCCCGAATACATTTAGCCGATTTTTTTGCGTGTCGTCTCGACGCCGGTAAAACCGGTGAAGCTAGTGGCTAGGATCTGTTACGTAGTTCTCGACCTCGGTGTTATAAAACCAGTCTTCAGAGGACTAGAACCTCGTATCGTTTATAGCGGTAAGCGCCAAACTGTCGATCGCGAACTACTAGCAGTTCGCGTGGACATCTTCGGTAGATCGCATTAACTATCTTCGGTTCAGGGAAATCTTCGGTTGTCTAAAATTGATTCTTCCACTGAGCTGACGTTGACAAGAAGACACTGTTGCAGTGGAGTTGGAACTGATTGATTTTTCAAAATGATTTATCTGTAAAATCGCTTTCTTCAAGCTATGAAACTACTTTGCCTTGAGGAAATTGTTCCTTGAGGAAAAATACCCAGTTTTGGTCCAGGTTCGTCTCAAAGTGAAGGCAATGTTCAGCTGTACATATGTGTGTCAGATTTCTTTTTCCAGTATGAAATTTATTAAAAATAAATACAAAAACAGACTCGCTGATGAATACTTGGACAACTATATTCGAATGGCAGCCACTATCTACTCTTCCAGCATTAAAAAACTTGTTGATGACATAAAAGAGTTCCATCCGCCTCATTAATGTTAACCAGTCTAATCAAAAATTCTATTATAACATTTTTTATAAATTACATTATATTATATCAGTTTCTTTCTTATTTACAATTCAATTTCAATTTCTTTTTGTTATATACAGTTTAATTAAAACTGATTTCATATTTACTAGAAATGTAGATTTTTCAAAAAGAAGTTGGTAGTTCTTTTGGGTAGCTCACAGTAAGGATTTAAAAAGGATAGTTTAGACTATGATTAGTAGGATTAGCCCAGAAACTTCATAAATTTGGCGACCACTGGTTTATACGGTGGTAAGTTCAGACCATGGAGGTGAGAAAAGGTCTTACTTCCTACCTCCATGGTTCAGGCTCTGCAGAGACCGTATTTAAGTTGCGTTATCTGTCTTTTTGGCTATGGAGTTATTACACGGTGAGATTTCGAAGGTTGTCGTTGGCGATTTCGTTTCCCTTGATCAACACTTGGGGACGCACTACGTTGCATTTTCTTCTCTTTGTTGGTGAATGTGTGGCCGTCCACGCCTGACTTTGCATACAATAAACCCAGACTGTGTTAACATATAAGTCCCCTGCATTGACCGGGAAGGTTATTCCTCCTTGGTTCACCTTTAGGGGTTGGAGCGCTTAACTTTTTTATATATATATATATATATATATATAATAAGGCAACTTATGCGTTAGCCAGGTCTGGGTGCTTTTTCCTTCTACTGTACCCCCGTACGTACGTCTGTTACTCCTACTGTACTGAAGTACGTACGTTATATGTTTCGCATAACTCAAAAAAGATTAGCCGTACAGCGTTGAGATTTTGTACATGGAACTGCTATAACATCTATGTTGTGCACCTCTCATTTTTATTGCAGTCCGCACTACCAAATATGTATATATCTTTTAAGCCGGATAAGGGAGGTGGGTATATACAGGGTGATTCTAAATTGTTTTTACAAATTAAGAGGGGTGATTGTACTCATCCAGATTACGGCCAAGCGTAATAATAGCTTAAGAGAGAGTAGCCTAAAAAGGCGGACGCGTGCTAGCCAGAATCTCTGGTTCTCTCTAACTAAGACAGTAGAACTTCGCGATTAAATACCACTCTTCCTCGATTTGCATTCAAACGTGATTCTAAAACTACGTTCTGGCCGGAAGTGGTAAGTTGAAATTAAGAAGCGATAGGACAGGAAGTTTAACTCAAAATTTAACTGTTAGCTAAATTAACATTATCCTTACAACTGTACCATCAAAAATAATGTAATGTAACATTAGCCGTACATGTTCCATAGTTTAAGAAGCCCAGGTCTAGGATAATGCTATAAATACAGAATAATTTTGTAGGTCTGACAGCAAATTTGTCCTGAATACAGGTTGAATTTGTGAGTAACTATCATAAGTTTTTTTTTTTTTTTTTTTTTTTTTTTTTTCAAATTTAATCTAATTCCAAGACCTTATACTCTTTGTTTCTTTCACATATGCAGCTACATACAGAACTTCAATTTCCCCTGCATCTTGTTCTTATTGGCTCCATCAAAACTACAGATAGCTCCATAAATGGAACGATGAATGATTGCACTGGCAGCTACCAGGATGACAACGTTAGTTCGAAACAGCCTTCACAGGTACATTTCTGATTTCATTTACATTCCAGGCATTCAGTTACCGAAGCATTTTTAACTTTATAAGGATAATGCACTCTCAGAAAGCCAACATTCTATCAATGTCATCCAGAAAGTGTTACTTTCTGGATTTTGGGACAGTTATAATTCTCATAATATATGCCAGACACAGGGATCTCGCGCTATTACTAGCTTGTGTAAGAACGTATGCCAGCTTGAATAAAAGTATTAGACAGAATTTTGCTTTAAATCTTGATAAAGAAAATGACAGTTTTCAATTTATTTCGAAACACAGAACATTGATATAATAAATAAAAAAATTACACTGTATTTCGAAAAGCAAAACAAAATAGCTTGAATTTTTGCCCAGCAAAAATAATTTCACTGAATCATATTTGTTCCAGAAAAACAGGCTGTATTAAAAATGTAACAAATAACAAGATGTCTCAACGACTATCTTAAATATTGCTGACAACTTGTAAATCACAAGTGATCTTACCAGCATCGAGCAACAAGGCTCCAGAATTAAACATCAAAAGAGAATCTTTATCATTACTTCCAAAATTCGCCAGTGTGCCAAATCTTTTCACTTTTTTAAATGAAAAAAAAAAATTTAATAAAAAATAAAACAAATAGTAAAAAAAGAAAGAAAAGAAAATCTGAAATGTTTCAAATTTTAAATTACGTCCAAAGGGGCGTTTTTTTAACATTTTGTGTGTTACATTTATTTATTAAATATCACGTTCTTCGCACATAAACCATAAAATTGAGCTCAACAGCAATATCGCAAAATAGTTTTAAAATGAGTATATCTTAGAATTTCCGATACAGAGACTCACGCGCTGGAGATAAAAATGTTTTTCTGTACAACGTTGCCATGGATCGCTTTGAAATTCTTGAGTTTTTTAATCAAACATTCATCAAAGTTTTATAAAATATTAAATTGACAATAAAACAAATTCCAAATTTCAAATTTGGTCTTCCACATGCCCATATTCGTAGGAAGATTACGTCATTCAACATTCGATGGCTCTATGTATCGTTGTTTTATCACAATGCCAGAAATATACATACATTTATGCAGGTTTTTCATTATTTAATTTCTTTAAATATAACACAGGGCGATAATACTTTGTGGCAACAGTTTGAAAAGTGATTCGCCGTTTGTAGTGAATCGACGCAAAATCGCAAAACGAAAACAATAGTCCTTCAGGGACAAATCCCCTTTGGATTAAAAATTATGCGTCTCTTTTTGTTTACTAAATATGATAATTAATAAAGCGAACTGATAACAATTTCTATCCTTTTGTTATAATAAATTATCAAAAATATTTTCTTATTACTTCGATCGATAACATTCTTCCATCGAAGTCAGTTACAATAAACATGCTTTCATCTCGTTTTTTTTTTTTTTTTTTTTTTTTTTTTTTTTTTTCCTTCTACTGATTACAAAATCGCTAACTTGAACATTTAAATTATTTTTTCTGCTTTTAATCCATTTTGAAGTTCAATTTAAAAATCCTGAAAATATACAGAATTCTTGGAAAATTTTGACATGAGGTTAGAACCTTAAATGGTCAAAGACTGTTTGACATTTTGACATGAGGTCAAAGACTGTTTCCTCATCGATAAGGAATTTTAACCCTTAAAGATTCATCTTCTTTGCAGCTGCGTTTAAATTGCATCGTACACAAAGACAGTGTTTTAATGTTCTGAATTCTAATGAAGGGGCACATATTTAAACTAGAAAAGTAATGATTAATATATTTTTCATTAATAATTGTTACTAAATAGGCAAAAAAACTTTTTTATCTGGTGCATTAGATTTCTTCATCAGCTTCTGTATTTAATATTCAGTTTTAATTACGGATTATCATAAATGTTTACAGTCATAAACCTTTCTATTTTGCTTTCTCTTAATTTTCTTTAAAAAACGAGTAATTTTGCAGCGTCCAGTAACTTTTAATACATGACCATTGCACTTGAAGTAGGAAACTACCAACGCATTCTATAACGAAACACTCAGGTGCTGTATTGGATTTTATACTAACATTTCTACCTGCTGGACTGTACGCTCAAAGACAGTTTCATCAGCGATAACAGTTTATGACGATTATTTTCCTTCTATACTTTTTTCTTTTTTCTCGCATATGTCAACTTCAGTTTTCTAAATTTTCATTTTTCTCCGTTTGTAGCATAAATAACTCCCAGTTTCCCTTAAAGAATCATCTTCCAAGGTATCTACGCCTGAGTCCCTCGGTTACTTTGTTATGTCGATTAAATTTCATATACTTCTTAGCATTTGGATTCAATATATTAATAACAGACTTTGTAAGATTCTGTACTGTATACTTTAAGTTACAGTTGAATGCGAAGAATCTTAAGAACTAGTAAGCGAATAATCGATTGAGTTCGTGAGACAGTAAGCAAAACTTGAAAAGGGTTAGACCCTTTATTATTCAATAATGTTTAACAGAATTCCGCTTTCAAGTTGGAGTTGTACAATAAAGTCGACACTCGGACTTAAGAAACTAAGAACTAAACTAATCTTAACTAAAAAGATATAGCCGAAGCTATCAAGATTCTGACGGTGTTGGCCCCTTAACGCTAATAAACTACGAAGGTATCAAGGGCCTAAAGTACGGCCGAACGTAATAATAGCTTAAGAAAGAGTAGCCTAAAAAGGCAGACGCGTGCTAGCCAGAATCTCTGTCTCTCTCTGACTAAGACAGTAGAACTTCGCGGTTAAATACCACTCTTCCTCAATTTGCATTCAAACGTGATTCTGAAACTATATTCTGGCCGGAAATTGTAAATTGAAATTCAGAAATGATAGGAAAGGAAGTTTAACCGTTAAATAAATTAATATAATCCTTACAACTTTAAATTTTTTTTCGATAGATGCATGAAAGAGAGAATCTATTGGACTCAACGGATTCAAAGGAAGGTTTCTCAAATGATTATTCAAAAATTTTAGATGCCTTTACAACTAGCGGCACAAAAATCGTCCCAAAGAGCGAAGCAAACATGACGCAGCCGTCCTCTGGTTTCGATACTAGCAGCAATGTGGACTATAATTTGGAGAATCAAGCAGACCATCCGCTCGAAATCAGTTTCGCTGCCGATTTGATAATGAAGGGATGCAGTTTAAAATCGGAGGAGATACCTTTCCTGATGGGCGAAAAAACGTCATCTGATAGCGATGATAATTTAAGTATGTATCAATTTTTTAATAATTTGATGTTAGTAATACACATTAAGTATTAAATTCATTAAAGTTAAGAAAGGTAGTTGTCACTGATTTAAAACCTATATATATATATATATATACACTCTTAGACAAAAACAAAAAAAAAAAAGACGCACCACGATGCACCAAGAAGATATAAAGCAAATTGGACACAAATTGATATGCATATAGGTTTCGACGGAAAATGCAAAATTTTACATTTTGGCAGCCAATCAATGAACGGTTGTCGCTACAGCGCATCTGATCTGCGCATCTCGCAGGATATTTAAGAGGAGAAATCACGATTCCAGGTCATAAATTCTTCACGAATTTCATTCCGTGTACTCCGGTGCGCGAACGATATACGCATATGTCATAATTTGAGAGAGGTCGTCTGGGATCAAAGAAGCCGGTTGGTCTTATCGGCGAATAGCTCGACATTAGGGCAGGAATGATGCCACTATTAGACGATGTTGACAGGAATGGGTAAACCTATGCCGCAAACAGTGTCAGGAAAGAAGCGGTAGGCCTAGAGAAATGACAGAATGTGAAGACCGAGCAATCGCAGAGCGGCACTCACAGCCCCCAGATGCATCATTATCATCGACTGTACGTGCAACTAGTGCTTCAGTGACCTCAAGGACCATTCACAGACAGCTGACAGAAAGGGGGCTGAGGTCACGGCGCCCTTTGCGCAGACTACCATTGACCTCTGTACAACGTCAAGCCCGTTTGCAGTGGTGTCGGGCTCATTCGCACTGGAATGTCACTGACCGGAGTAGAATAGTCTTCAGTGATGAGTACCGCTTTCAAGTGAGCCCCGATGACCAGCGAAGGCCAGTCTGGAGACGCCCCGGACAGCGGTGTCATACCAACCTGACTGTCTTCCGGCAGACAAGCCGACAACCAGGAGTGATGGTGTGGGGTGCCATTTTATTTCATAGTAGAACACCTTTGGTTGTCATCCGTCGCAACCTTACAGCACAGCGGTACGTCGACGAAGTTCTAAGGCCCGTTGTGTTGCCCTTCATGTCACGCCACCCTGGGTTTACAATTCAGAAAGATAATGCCCGCCCCCACACAGCCCACACTGCACATGTTTCTACTGCTTGCCTTAGTGCTTGCCGAACATTACCTTGGCCAGTAAGGTCGCCGGATCTCTCTCCTATTGAGCACGTTTGGAGCATTATGGGCAGGACTCTCCAACCAGCTCGGGATGTTGACGATCTAACGCGCCAGTTGGACAGAATTTGGCACGATATCCCTCAGGAGAACATTCGCAACATCTATCAATCGACGCCAAGCCGAATAACTGCTTACACAAGGGCCAGAGGTGAACAAACGCGTTACTGACTTTTTCACTTTGTGAAACTCTATCACTTCAATAAATCATCCAAATTTTTTCAAACTGTAATCATTTTTTTTCTGTACATGCACATCACTTCTACCGATTTTCGTCCCATTCGGATAACTCCTTCTTAATGAGTCGTTTTAAGAGTGTATATATATCCATATCTGAGATAATAATTACATTACGTGACGCAACTTGTCATACTGCATCACTTTTGCAGCAGAAAATATCAGAATCCACAGCACGTCTCCTTGTTTTATGCACGAAAGAATGAACAACAATATTACAATAAATTGCATGTAGCAAACATTCGCTAGTAGACTTTGTCTACCTTGAATTAACGAATTAAAAACATCTTAAGTTCTTCTTAAGCCCTAACTTTTCAAATAATAATTATCTGTAAAAATGTTCATTACGTTAAATTATATTCTGATTTGTTCAAATTTCTATAGGCATTCTACAGTATTTTTTAAGGCGAAGAAGGCAGAATAGATAAGCCAAACTTACCAAGCTTTACAGCAGGGAAAAAAAAAATTTGCTCGAATCTATGCCGAGTTCGTCGCCGTTTAACTCTTAATTGTAACTGACCTGAAAATATCATTTTCAGTCTTTAGATGTTTATTGAGAATAATATAATATACTTCTACGATATTCGTAATTAAACCAATTGTTAAACGGTTACTTTTGATAATAATTTAAAAATTTTTGCTTCAAATCCATAGGTTCAGATCTTGACGCCTCAACAGCGATGATCTATGCACCCCTCACAAGCAAGCTGAGTGGCCAGGCGTCTGGAGAGGATATTTCACTTGAATCATTAAGTCGGCAAAAATATCAATACTATCCCAGCTTCAATCAGAAGCAATTAGATAAGAACATCCTTATCTCATGGCTAGATGATTCAAGTGATGAATGCGAGCCCTTCTTGTTGAATGACTCTGTTAAGCGAACACCGCAAACGGATGAGCCCGAAAGGTAAATGGATAGCATATCTCTTAAAATTTAGCTATAAACAACTGGATTACAGGCAACTAAAGATAGTATCGTTAAATGGTGTTATCAGTCTTCTTAAATCCATACATTTACTGATATTTGTTTGTTTGCGTGTTAACAGCCATGACAAAGAAACTTTTGTTTTTTCAAGCTTTAAATTAACATACATTATTTAAAGCTTCAAAGAACATATACATAATTCAAAGCTTCAAAGAATTAAAATTATGTATATTGTAGGGACATCAGGTTTATTGATACAGGAGACGTTAAAATGTGCAATGCCCTCGCCAAGATTCGAACATCACACATGTCCATTGCTAGCCACACGTGCTATCAAGTTACAACACGAAAACACGCGGAAAGAAAGAAGAATATATCTTATATGCTCCCCCTTTTAGAAGGCGACAGAGATGAGGAAGTCCTGTCACCAATCCTGGTGGTGACGAATTGTCGTATACCAATTTTTAGTTCGGGCGTCACTTCCAGATTCATTAGGTTTATCGGCAGAAAGCAACTGACACATGGCAAAATGAATGGAATATCAGCAATAAAGGACGAAGGACAGCTTATTTTATTCCAAAGGTGCATCTTGAACGCAATACAGGGAATTTACTGTTAGTCCGATTTGTCTCAGGGCATGGCCCGTTTCCACAGTACTTTGAAAGATTCAGAATTACAGAAACAGATAATTGTGTTTGTGGTAATATAGGCAGCCCGGATCATTATCTCACAGACTGCCCACTCACAGAGCAGCATCACGTTCATTTACCAGAGCTTAATAGACAAGCCTATTGTAAATTTATAATTAAACAAAAATATCTTGTGGAAAAAATAACAAAAATCATGGACAAACTATCTGCGTTAGGCACCGATCTTTGCCAAATAGCTTAGTAACACTGACTATGTTCATGTAATTATGTGCTTGAAAAAAAACACCTGCAAGTGAATACACTATCAATCAATTGTCTATTTGCGTGAATATAATAATAAAAGTCATGCACATACCTTCTGCCTTAGGCTTGATCAGTGCCAAACTGTTCAAAATTGCTGAATATGTACTTACATGCTTGAGAATACATTTGAGAATTACTGCATAACTATGTGTAATATTTATCAGAATTACTAGCAGTAGCACTGAATTAGTATTGTAATGTATAATAATTGTATAATTGGTAATGTAATTAGTATTGTAATGTATAATAATTGTATAATTGATAATGTAATTAGTATTGTAATGTATTGTTGCGTGCGTACGGGTTCGTTATGAAATGAATGCACAAGTCCGATGAAAAAAAATGAACAAAAATTTATTATTATCACAACAAAAATGCTTAAATTTTCTCAAATTATTACGCAGTATTACAATATCTCACAGTAGTTTTCTTTTAACTACTCAAATGTCCAATAGAACGTAATTCAAAACAGCTAAAGAACGCTAATCCACGAATTCGCTACAATCAACACGGTAGTTTTTTTTTTAAACAACAACAAACTAAGCAACTGCTACAAACTGAGATGTTTTCCTCCTTTTATAAGATTTTAAAATCACGCGCTAGAATTTTCCAGTACTTTCTCGAAATCAAAAAGAGATATTTATTTATTTAATGCACGCGCTCTTGTATTTTCAATTTTCCGGCTTAGCTTTCTTTTAATATTCGTCACGCGCTGCACTGCGCGAGAAATAAAACCAATTAATTTATAATTGAACTAATATTAGCTTTTTAAATACCAAATTCGTAACACTGCCCCCTTCCCAAGGACTGCACGTCTCGGGCAGTACAATCCCTGGACAGGAAGCTAAATTTACAACTGTGGCATAAATGCAACTGAGGCATAAACATTACATTACAATATCAAACAATATAAACAATAAATGCAATAACTAACTTGAACAAATCAAATGCTATCAAATACTAAATACAAAACAAATACTAAATACAAATCAAATACTAAATACAAATCAAATACTAAATACAAATCAAATCAAATACACATTTATAAACAAAAAGGACCATGGTCTTATACTATTTACAATTATTTACATTATGTACTATGGCCATAGTAATGTGCTAACCTGTCGTAATGAACGACTTTAGGTTTAGAGTTCGAAGACTTACGAATCCGAACCACGACGTCATTCAGCCTGTTTAGGACTGTGTACGGGCCATCCCAAGGTGACTGTAATTTCGGACAAAGTCCTTTCCGTCGAGTCGGATTCCACAGCCCACACCTTGTCTCCTTCGTGGAATTGATGTTCAGTAGCTCTTGTGTCGTATCGGGTCTTCATCTTCTCCGTCGCCAAGTTGACTCGCTCTCGTGCAAAGTTGTGCATCACTTCAAACCGGGCCTGGAGATCTTGAATATATTCCTCAGACGATGAAGGAGCATCCGGAGGGCGGCCAAACAATAGATCACAAGGCAGACGAAGATCACGACCGAAGAGCATTTGTGATGGAGAATAGCCGGTAGTGTCGTGGACAGCACTGCGGTAAGCCAGTAAAAAGAGTGGTAATTTCTTGTCCCAGTCCTGTTGGTTTCTGGAAACCACTAATGAGAGGTTATTAAGGATGGTTCGATTGAACCTCTCTACCATGCCGTCCGACTGGGGATGCAATGGCGTCGTTTGAGTTTTGTCAATGCCGAGTAGTTTGCATAGTTCTTTGATTACTGCCGAGGTAAAATTCCTTCCCTGATCGGAATGTAACTGAAGAGGCACTCCGAACCTGGAAATCCAGTGCTGTATCATTACCTCAGCTACTGTGACAGCCTCTTGATCAGGAACAGGGTACGCTTCAGGCCACTTGGTGAAGTAATCAATGACAACGAGTATGTATTTGTTGCCATCAGCAGTTCGTGGCAGAGGTCCTAAGATGTCAAAGGCGATACGTTCAAAAGGCGCCCCTACGTTGTAACGTTGCAGCTTGCCTCGGCTGCGTCTCTTAGGTCCTTTCCGACCTGCACAGGCATCGCAGGATCGGCACCACTTTTGCACGTCATCCTTTGCATTCTTCCAGTAAACGCGCTCACGAACTCTCTGTAAGGTCTTCATTATTCCAAAGTGACCTCCCGTAGGGCTGTTATGTAGTTCTTTAAGGACATCAGGAATGCGGGATCTTGGAAGTATCAGCTGCCATCGGAACGTCTTCCCATCATCCGATTCAAATTTCCGGTATAAGACGCCGTTTCGAATGTGAAGTGAATCCCAGAGTGCCCAATACTGTTTGGTTGTAGGACTACAGATAGAAATGTCCTGCCAGGTAGGTTTTCTGGTTGATGACTCCATTAAATCAATTATCGGTTTAATGTCGCGGTCTTCCAGCTGGTCTTTCCTGACTTCATCATCACTCCACGGTTCTCGATAAGCCGATGTTGATGTTGTAATTTGTCTTGCGACCGGAGTCAGCAGCTCGTATTTCCCCTTCCACCCTGGAACAATATCGGCAGCTTTCTTGGCAAGATCTTCTAGACAGGGCGTCGGCGTTTCCGTGTGATGATCCCTTACGATGACGGATAGTGATGTCATATTCTTGGAGTCTCTGTATCCACCTGGCTATTTGACCCTCAGGATTCTTGAAATTTAAAAGCCTGGTCAATGATGCATGATCGGTGCGGAGCAGGAATTTTCTGCCATATAGATAGTGATGGAACTGTTCTACGGCTGACTATGGCGAGCAACTCTTTCCTGGTGACACAATAATTCCTCTCCGGTTTAGACAGGCACTTGCTCCAGTAGGCCACTACACGTTCTTGGCTGTCTATTTTTTGGGACAAAACAGCACCGACACTTTCATTGCTCGCGTCGGTGTCAAGAATAAATGGTCGGTCGAGCTGAGGATACGTCAGGATTGGAGCAGATGTTAAAGCCTCCTTTAAGTTGTTAAATGCATCCTCGCATTCTTTTGTCCACAAGAATCTTTTGCTTGCTCTCTGTCAGCTTGTGAAGGGGGTCTTGCGATGGAAGAAAAGTCCTTCACGAATCTCCTATAGTAGGTGCAAAGCCCTAGGAAGCTTCTCAGCTGATGGACATTTTCAGGACGTTTCCAGGATTTAACGCTGATACACCTTTTCAGGATCCGTGCGCACACAACTTCTGCAGAGATGACATGTCCCAGGTAAGTCACTTCCTTTCGGAACAATTTGCATTTAGCGGGAACTCAGCTTCAGAATTGGCTTCTTTCAGTTTCTGAAGCATCCCTTCCTAAGATTTTCTAAATGTTCTTCAAAACTCTTTCCGACGATGATGATGTCGTCCAGGTATATCAGGCAGGCTTCGTAGGAAGACCTTTCAAAACAGTCTCCATAAGACGTTCGAATGTTGCCGGCGCATTACACAGTCCAAACGGCATCACCTTGAATTGCCAAAGCCCTTGTCCCGTAGTAAATGCCGTCTTTTCTCGGTCTTCAGGCTGTATTTCTACCTGCCAATACCCACTCTTTAAATCAAGTGTTGAGAACCACTTGCTTCCAGAAAGAGAGTGTCTAGAATGTCGTCAATTCTAGGAAGAGGGTAACTGTCTTTCTTCGTAACCTCATTCAACCGGCGATAGTCAACGCAAAATCTTGTTGAGCCGTCTTTCTTTCTGACGAGAACGATGGGAGATGCCCATGGACTCGCTGAAGGCTCGATGACATCGCCTTCTTCCATATCTTTTAACAGTGTTCGCACCTCTTCCTGTTTAGCAAACGGTAGACGTCTTGGATGTTGCTTGATCGGGGGATGATCGCCAGTATCTATTCTATGTTGTGTCAAACTAGTTCGACCCACGTCAGAAGACGAGCAGGAGAAAACAACTTGAAGATCTTTGATGACGCGATCGGCAGCATTCTTCTCTTCATCGTTTCAATTGCGCATTCTGCAATAACTCCGATGTAATGCTCTCTGATGAGGACACGGATTCTTGGATATTGCTCTTTCTTTCAACGCTGGTTACTGGAGTACATGCTGCAACCACGTCGCCTTTCTTAATAACTCTCGCCTTCTC